CAAAATTTGCGTTTGGCATTGAAAGAGCACTGGCTGTTGAGTACATCTCACCTTTGCTGTGGACTTCTGGCCTAACTCTTTGCTGTGGACTTTTTGCATCTCTTAAACAGGATGGGAATTGTTTTGCATTGATTCTTCCCCACACTGTTTCTAATCTTGTAATGCTGATTCCTCTCTGCTTCCAAGTTACAAGTTATGTAGAAGGAGTAAGTGAGCATGAGGAGTCTGAGGAAACAGTAAATTACACTATTTCTGAAAGATGTAACATTTCCCAGAATGGTTTAACATTAGTAAGCATTTAAGAGACTACTCCTTTTACTGTAGGACTGCAGCTCAGCACTTAATTTTTATCTGTTATAACATCATTCTATGATTTTACAGACAATTTTTTTCCAACTGCAAAAATTCTTTTTCTTCTGAAAAATTATTCCTATAATTTCCTTGAGGTTAGAAGTCATATTCTTTTTCCAAGATTTGATCAATGTAATCAGTTCAGTCATTATGACGTTAATATGACTTATATGTTCTTACTTTACAGTTTGTAATATAAATGCAATTTGTAATATAAATGCAGCTGTGATATGGCTCTCACAGCTTCCACATATCAGTATCACTGTTGGTGGTGCTTGGAAGACGCTTAATGCACTGAAGAATGTATTGTACACTTCTTCTAATGTATTTAAATAATTAAATAATATCTGTAAATGAGAGAGTCTTATGAGTCGTGTTACTGATCTGATCGGGTGGTTTGAAGAATGGTTAGACTAGAAAAAACCAATTACTTGGATGTATTATTTTTCCTGTTCAAAGGCTGGAAAGGAAGAATCCAGCAGAAGGATAAACAAAGGCTGCAGTAATCTGCTGTTAGCTACTACTGGATTCTGAGATGATCTCTTTAAAATAAAAGCCTAATTTTTTACTAAACTACTAAGCCTGGAGGTTTGTTTTAATGACATCAATCTGGGCAAGGTGCTTTGATCACTTCCAAGTGCTTTCCTTAGTTTTAACATTCAGTCACATAATGTTGACTGTAAACCAAACCCCAGGGAGATAGGGGTCCTGCCTCACAGGACATCTGTAATGCAGTGAAGGTGAGAGTGGTGAGCAGCTGACCCTTGGTTTTAGGGAGAGCTACTTGAGGTTTGCTTCAGGAGATGTCAGAAAAGTCACCACCCATTTTATATATTTCTAAATATTTCTTAATTGTGTCTGAGGCCAAAATTTCTGTTACATGAGATGCTGCTTTTCTTGAGTATGAAGCTTCACACCTTTGAGCAAAATGAGTGCTTTTAGGGTTTGCTGTTTTCAGCTTTGCAGTCATGAAGTAGTTTTTTCAAGCATCATTCAAAACTTTAGAGGCTGCTTTCTCCACACCTTAGCTAAGATGAGATCCTGGAAGGACTAGAGAAAAACAGGAGGTTGGTTTCCCTCCACAAATGTATGAGAACCTCTGGAATGATCCCAGGATAGAGAGATAGGAGCTCCTGAATTCAAATTCTTTCTCTAGCATTGAGTTTTCTTGGTGGCTCTGAGTAAACCCATTAAAATGTCTGTGCATTGGTTTCCTCATCTATAAATCAAAATGCCAAGTTTTCTACCTCTTAGTGATTCTGGGAGCTCTGAATATTCTTCTTCGTAGAAAGAGCTTTGACAGGAACAGCAACAACATTGCACATAAAAACTGAGGCTAAAATTGCCATCTGGATTTGCTGAAGATGCAGTATAGCTGTATACTGGAAGGGAAGACCCTGGGCTCTTTACCTCTGTAGGGGACCTGAGACACAGTGAGCTCTGGGTTTTCTTCAGGGATGAGAAGAGCCAGGAGCTTGGCTTAGGTACTTGTTTGCTGTGGTTTTGTTTCTGTTCCTGCACTCAACCTCTGATATGTTCTGATGGCTGGTTTGGATTTTAAACGGATATAAATCTGAGACTTGCAAAACTGGCTTTGCAGCATGGTGGTGATAGTAACTGCTTAATGTGCTGGGTGTGTCTGCTAGGGATTGATGAGAAAAGGGTAACATTTCCCATTAAAGTGATCAGTGACTCCATTCATTCAAGGAAATTATCTGTGCTAGTTTCAAGATTCTGAGTTTGCTTCTATTCAGGGATTTTTTTGCATCTTGAATATGTGAAAGTTTAAGTCCAAGTGTGGAATTTGGTACAGGACTTGGATCTTTGAAAATCACAGCTATTGCAGAGAATTTAGTTATGTGAATGAATTAGGAAATAATAATGGATTTAGATTAATACTAACAAGAGGAATGGAAGATTTGATTCCTTATATGCACTGACATTCTGATTTTTATATATCTATTTAGTATTAACTATGTTAAAAATTAAATCTTGCAAATCATACAGAAATCAATAGGTTTCAAACATATACAAAATATGTTTTAAGTAAATGTTATTTTATGCACTTGCATTGCCACCCTTTATTAACTAGATCATCAATTAAATTAAATATCACTGCCTATATATAGGGTTTTGCATATCAGAAAAATCAGGGTTTGATCTATTGCTTCATGTAACATGAACCAATGATCCCTGCTGACTTCAACTTGGATCTTAATGTTAGCTTGTGTGCTCCTGTGCAGAAGCTGCTTGGTACACTACCACTATTTAAAGAATACAGAAGATATAAATATCACAGTGCAATCTGAGGAACCTTCAAAACTGTACAGCACAAGGGTCATGAGCTAAAAAGTAACAAGTGGTTAACTGCTCTGTGGTCTTCCAGGTGTTACCAGACTGTGTCTGAAAGCATAAAGAAATACTGGGAGACCTGCAGCCTACTCAGGGCTTTTCCTTCTCATTCATTGCGGAAAGAACCTATATCTCTTTCCCTCTTCCATGCTCTCTGGTAATTTTCAGGTGCTTTTTGATCTCAGCTATGGTGTATGTCAGAGCATCCTAACATTTGGGACAGTATGGAGAGGCCATGCTTGGAAATAAACCTTTCATGTGGCCTGACAGAAGCTACTGTGCGGTAGCTCAGGGGATACACAGAGGCAGCTGCATCTGCTGCCTCTCATCCTTCTGCACAACTCTTGAGAAGAATTTGACCCTGTCTTGTCTATGTTCTTCCATTAAGTCATTAAAGAGGTCAGTAAGATTTCCCTTGAATTGTCTCTCCTTGAGGCAGAGTGAACCCAGTTCCCTCAGCATCTCCACACACATCAACCCAGTGCCTTGAGTATGGTGGTAGCTGTTTGCTGGACTGACTCCAGTATTTTGATGTAATTTTTATATGAGGGAGCTCAGTGCTGGACAGAACACTCCTGATGTGATCTTGTAAGTGTCCATTAGGGGAAGAATCACTTCCCTTGGCCTGCTGACTGCATTCTTGCTAAGACAGCCAAGGATGCAGCTGGCCTTTGCTGAAAGGACAGGCAGTGCTGGCTTGTCCTCAGCTAGTCTGCTGGGACCACAGGTCTTCTTCTGAAAAGCTGCTTTTGAGCCAGTTGGCTTCTAATGTGTGCTACTGCATGGAGCAATTTGGGTGGCTGTTTGCTTGCAGGAGTATCTGGACACATGGCTTGCTTACTGAAGTTCAAACACGCATTGCTTCTGCAGGAGTCTCTGCTTAAAGCAGACCTTTCGCTTGAGAATGTTATACTTAAAAGCTGCAATACTGTGCTGTTTTGTTGTCATTATTTTATGCTGTGAGAACACAGATTTTACCATGTAGTTATTCTCCAAGAATGGTTATGACAACAAGTATTTTCCCTTCAGTCTTGTACTAATAAATTCTGGCTAATCCTTATTAAGATTACTAAATGGTACAAAACGAAGCAGAAAAGTACTAATAATGCCAATGAAAATAGCACCAGCATTTGCCTTGTGCAGTGATTTGTAAGCAATGATAACTTGATTACTTGTACTATCTACTGCTTAGCCTTGCTTTCACAGCTGGGAGTCAGGAAGGTGCTGCAATATGGAGTGGGGGGTGGGATCTATACAGACTCCATTGCAAGTACCATTTCCTCCCAGCTGGCACTAGCTAGTCCTCCTCCAAGCCTTCCTGTCACTCTCCGGTGTTTCTTCTACTAGATAAAATCAGGGTTTGCAGCTGGCTCATGCAGCAGAACTGGCTTTGAGTGACTGGCAACCCAGGTACTCGGAAGTAGACCACTAGCTCACACAAGGGATTTTCATAGTACTCAAATGCTGCTTCCAATTGCTGAGAAATAAATGCAGTGGCTTTTGTTATCATACAGAAGAGATTTATTTTCTTCATGAGAAAATATTAAATGTCATGTGCTATGAATAATTCCCCCATGTTTATTTTTGCTGATTGAAAAAGATGGCCTTATCTAGTACAGATTTCCTGGATAAGGTGATAAAACAGGCAAAGTTCTCAGATGTGTTTACCAGCAACATTACTTATATCTGTGGACAAAATGTTTTATGTGGACTTCCCTCATGCTCTCAGAGAAGGAATCTGTACACACCTCATGTGGCCCTCTTGTTTGCTTGGTCTTTCAATTCAATTGAAAGAAAGAGGCAGTTCTGTTAGGATTCTATTCTGGTGTTTTTCTTAACTTTCCTGTCGGATAGGTTAAGATAGATTCAGATGGCAGTAGAGCTGAATCTAAATACTGATCTTTGGAAAATGTTGCTGTTTTTTTTAATCGACGCATATGTGGTGGTTGTGTTGTGAATAATAGAGCTTTCCATCCTTCTCCTAAAAAGGATGTGAAATGTCTTATAACAGTCCTTAAATGTGCTTTTCCTAGACTCCACTGCATACTGTAGAATGGTCCCTATGGAGACAGTGCTACAGTGAAACTAAAAACACAGCACTGAAATTCATCGCTACTGACGACCCTGCAGTTAATTCTCTTGGTAGCCATATTACAAAAGGAGCTCTACAGCTATTGACATGCCTTGATACTTAGCTCTACAGCTGACAGTGCCGTGGGATGCCTAAACTTCATGACAACCGTAAATCTCCTCTTGGCTGACCACTGAATAGATCTTTCTTTTCCCTTCCTTTCCAGCGCGAGATGAGAACATGGCCACTTTCCGTGGCTCCGAATACCTTTGCTACGACCTGTCACAAAACCCCATCCAGAGCAGCAGTGATGAGATCACGCTCTCCTTCAAGACATGGCAACGCAACGGGCTCATTCTGCACACGGGCAAGTCAGCTGACTACGTCAACCTGGCCCTGAAAGACGGTGCAGTCTCCTTGGTCATCAACCTGGGGTCTGGGGCCTTTGAGGCCATCGTGGAGCCGGTCAACGGCAAGTTCAATGACAACGCGTGGCACGACGTTAAGGTGACACGCAACCTGCGGCAGGTAATGCTGGAGGGGAGAAAGTGCTGGGGAGAGTTTTGTTTTGTTTTATTGGGACAGGCAGATGCAGAGAGTAATGGAGAAATAGGAAAGCTCAGTGCTATTGCTAGAGTTTCTCCACCTATTCTGGATCTTGGTGCCTAAAAGACAGTGAAAAAAACATTAGTTAATGGGAATTTATCCCTCCTGCAATATCTTTATTTCCACTTTATTAATTTTCTATTTTTTTCCCCGTTTGATTTAATAATAAAAACTTGTGATATAACTTTACTTTCATCTCCTTTTTCCTTTTTTCTTTTTCTGTTCTCCCCTTTTAAATTTTATTATTTCCTTAATTATGATTCAATCTTATCAGTAATATTCTTGTTGCATTTAATTATTGTGGGAATAGAGCCTATTGCCAACAGCCAACGCTCTACACCTCTCTCCTTTTTCTCTCAGTTTTGTTAATTGGTTTAGCATTGCCATGATGTCACAGTTCTAATTCTGAAAGTCTTTTGTTTCTCTTTTCCTTTTCTTTTGTGTGTGCATATGAGTGTGCAGGTGTGCAGACTGGTGGGTATGTGTGTAATTATTTCAACTTTATAGTTTTGGAATTAATTGGCTGGAGTCTCTCTGAGTCTTCTTGATTCTCTGTTCTTCTTTTTTTCCTTTTGATTTTTTCCCCCTTCTTTCTATAATGAGATTCTACTTTATTTCTTGTCTCTGCCTTGAGACTCTTCTGTTTGCTGTGAGGACTGGAAAAGTGGAAGGATCAAAAAACCCCATGCAAACTCAGATTAATCCAGAACCATACAATTCCACTTTGGAAAAGTTTTTCTGATTTTACTACTGTAATTTTGCACATCTACATGCTGCTTTTCCTAGCAGACAACTGTATCAGGTGACGTATTTGGTAGTAGGCTAGTCTTAAAATCCTGAAGCCTTTCTTAGGAAATATAAATTCATACATAAATAGATAAGATAAAATTAAATAACTGCTCTGAAAGCTGGTAAATATATCAAGTCACTAAGGGCCATTCGCTGCATAACAAATGATGTTTACATGGTGAATAGGAGCTATTTGATGTCTTGCTGATTGGTAGAGGAGCAGAAATAGCTTGTAAACTAAGATTTAGAATTAAATTAAATATTAAATTGTGAATACAATGTGACCTGTTTATTTTCTCATTAATGTCAATATTAGCACAACCTTTAAATAGCTTTATGTAAGTTTATACAATGTAATTTGTGGTAGCGTTTTACACTAGCTAAGAGCAAAGTATCTGTGACTATAGGATAATCAGTGCCAGGAATCAGAAAAAGTCCCTACTAGTAGAGGTCAGTGGATAATTTTTCTGTTATCAGGAGTTCATGTCTTTTTAATATTTGTGTTTGGGGCTGCAGATTTTTATTTGTCTTTGCCATGTAAATCCTTATATTTCTACATGCTTAGGAGTTCAGGGTCTGAAAAAAAATCTGTCATCAAACTTTAATGAGACTACAGAATTCTTATGTATGGAAAAAAAATCATTATGTTTTCAATAGTATCTATACAGATGAAAATTTCATTTCTTATGCACTGGATGGTTCTTAATGATCCTATTTTGTTTAACCTTTCTCATCAGTACAGTAGACGAAGGTGCACTGACTGGTCTAGGTTTGTCAGTCTCGAAAAGTCAGAATATATGGCTTTCTTTGATGTGATCTTATTTTTTTTTTTAATTTTTAGGTAGTTTCAGAACAGCTGGTCCTTGAATATCTCAGTAGAGGTCACTGGCCATTTTAGTTAATAAGACTTTTTATTTTTCATTTGAAGTGAATTTCAGTGGGCAAATGTGCCAGAAGCAAAATTAATCCTTGCTTCATGCCAGGATTGGTTTGGATCTTGAACATGAAGAAGGTGAAGGGTCAGAAACAAAACTGTGGATGGGAAGATGTGGCATTCTTTTTCTTAATATTTTAACTAGTGATTTTTTAATTGGTCCACAGAAGTGGACTGAGAAAATGGAAATCTGTCTATGCCTTTTCGTATTTGATGAGACCAGGACAGTACTTTGGCAGTTATTACAAAATAGGTAGTCCCTTGCCAATAAAGCAGCACCATAAAATTTTTTAGCCTCCTGATCTATTCACTGTGAATGTTTCTAAGTGATCCTAAAATCTTAAAGGGTCCAACTTGACTGGGCAAGAGAGAAGATGATTTAATGAGATGGATGGGCTCTTTGCAAAGAAAGGCCAGTCTTCAAATAAAATTACATTTAATTAGCAGAGGTGATTTGGGGTCCATTTCTATAGTTAAACATGACAGAATATAGTTCAACCAATAAATATCAATAAAGCTGGACTTCTTTTTAGTCATCTTTTCCCTGGATACTTGCATTTTAACTTTTGATCTGTCTCAAAATTAAGACATTGACCCAGAATCTAAAGCTGCCCAGATATTGGAAGTGATGAGGCCTTGAGGCGGAGCAGTCATGATAGTCTTAAATGTTGTCATCCAATATAATTTTGTGTCACCTAAATAATTTTGTATGTAAAACACTATTGATTCTATGTCTTTCTGACATAAATTCACCTGTTACTTTGCAGTACAATATAGTTCACTAGAAAGTCTTATTTCCAGCTGTGGTCATGTTTCCTTAAATAACCCATTCCAAAACCAAACATAAAATCCCAATAAAATATATTGCCTCTTAATGTTGAAGCTTTATAAGAAAATCAGTAGCCTCCTTGTAATTGGTTGAAAATATTGCACTGGAGGTAGATATATTTCTCTTTAAAAGAACTTTAAAAGCAATAATTTAGACATTGCAAGAATATTATCTAAATCTAATAAATTCCAGCTAAGTGGACTATCAGCAGCTTCAGGCTGCCATCTAATCTTTTCCTCTTCATTTTTGGAGGCTAAGAGAAAGGGGAGGAGGATTTGTATATTTTTTTTGTCTGTTTCTAGAATTAGAGTGGAACTTTAAATAGTTGGACTTGTGCTTAGTACTTTTTGGAATTGTTAAATGTTTTGTACCTAAGCTGGGAGAATACTAAGGGCTCCTTTTTTTTAGATCAAATGACTATCACAGCAGTTAATCTCCTTAGAGAGAAACCAAGTGAATCCACAGATTCCCTTGAGTAGAGATTGTTAATGTCAAAGCAAATCTCCTTGTTTATTTATCTTATTATTTCAGTTAAAACTAAGCCCTCTTTCTGCCTTGTGAGAAACCTTTACTTAGTGATAGGATCACGGCTGAATTTTACTGGGGCTTTCAGAGTGTCTTTGGGGTAGTGTGGTCTGGTGGGAGAAGGAGCAGAGGAGACTGAAGGTCACACCTCCTGTGCCTGTCTTCAGGGCTGCTGCTGACACTCCATCTGGTTTCTAGCATGCTCTTCTCCCAGTCCCATACTTTAACTCCCTTGTTTGTAAAAATAAATTTACTAACACAACAATTTGCTGTGACTAAGACTTCCTTGGTGAAGAATTCAGGAGTTTGTGCTCATTATTTCCAAGTACAGACTATTATTATTCCCATTGGCAAATAACCTTGGGGCTTCATGCTCAATGCCACAAAGTCTTCAAAAACCTATTTTCCTAGTTAATGCACAACTCTGAAGCCTATAAGCAGATGGTTTTTACATGAGGCAATGTAGATCTTCCTTGTGTAATTTAGGATAATTCTTGCCAACTTCAATCACACTGGAACATGGACTTGGAGCCTCTACAGGCTGCCCTTTCCTATTAACACTAAAGCTAGTCACAATGCAAAATCTACTATTAAGATGTTTAGTTCCTTAACTGCTAAAACACAAAGAAGCCAAGTGTAGGTTCTAACAGTTGATGCCTGCATGCCTTGGGATGGCTTAAAAAAGTTCTGCTGAACCAATTCTCCTAGCTCCTGTGTAATAGAGATGCAGTAAAACAGGAGGGACAGTAGGTCTTGTAAGTCTTCTGTCTTCAGCCTGGACACAAGGCACACAATTCTTTCTACACAGTTTCTTGACACATTTCTCCCTACAGTAAGAGAGATTAAATTCCTGTATCTTGGATGACAGAAGTGAGCTACAGGCAAACAGCCAAGTACAGGCACTGTTATGTGCTTGTCCTGAAAGTCAAAAACTCAGCTACTGTAAGGAAACCTGCAGACTGGAAAACTTGGAAGGAAGACACAGAGTCTTGGACTCATCTTCATCTGTATCCTCCAGCCAAAGTAAATACTGGTCTTGTGATATTCTGCAGCACTTGAGGGTAGTGAAGCTTGGAAGAGGAGCTGGCGTGGTGGTGGGTGGAAGAAGGGAGTCATGGTTGGGTTTGTGCTGAAGGGGCAAGCTGTGTACTCTGTGTGTATATCTCTGAGCCCAAGGTTCTTGTTTGAGGGAAGCACCTTGATGAACAATTGAAGAGTAAGTATTGCACTGTTTTAACTTTGCTTCAGGTCTGGATAATGTGTATGAGGGTTGAAGTTAATGACTAATATCAGGGTGGGAAGAGTAGGTGTTTCTTTACAGTCCAAATGGCATGGTTCCCCATAGAGTCCTGGTCATATTGTCCTCTTTCTCACTTTGTGTGTCTCAGGTGCCCCACTCCTTTTTTTGAAAAACTAACACTAGATCATTCATGCAATGTGTCATTTTTACTAACCAACTAATGTACTAACACCCTAACGACTCATCTTTGCTTTTAGTTATTTTAATTAACAATCGTTCTGTTCACGATTTTTTAATTTCCTTTCTTCCCCCTTTTCCGCAAAGCACTCAGGCATTGGACACGCTATGGTAAACAAACTACATTGTCTGGTAGATATCATTCTTATTGTCTCTTTTTTTGGGTTTGCCGTGTGTTACCTGCCTTTTCCTCCCCCTACCTGCTCTTTTCCCCCATCCTTTATACTTACTGCTTCCTTTAATTTTATTCTAATTTCATTGAAAAACATGTCGTTTTCCCCCTTCTTTTTTTACCTGCTCTTTTCCCCCATCCTTTATACTTACTGCTTCCTTTAATTTTATTCTAATTTCATTGAAAAACATGTCGTTTTCCCCCTTCTTTTTTTCATTGAAAAACATGTCGTTTTCCCCCTTCTTTTTT